AAAGTCATGATCTTCGAGTCTCAAGTACAGCTTTCGGTCCACATGCTGTCCAGAGCCTCCATCTCAGCGGCCTCCCACTTCCTCCCTCTTTCTCCTACTCCCTCGTCCCTCTTTCTCTCTGTGATATTGTTTCGGGAACATGACCGAGTTCCAATCACTTGAGTGCCATGCAAAGCAGGAAATTTCAGTCGCTGCATTTCCACACCTTTCACTCACAGAGCGAAAAGGCAGTCTCTGATTCCCACAGTCGTCTTTTCTGGGTGCGCGAAGGGGCGCGTAGGGTCTACAATCAAGCAGCTACAAAATTGAAAACTACCACGCACAACGCCATGGATCCCCGGTGTCACGAAGCAGATACGTATATACAACGAAAGAGAGAAAGAGAGAGAGAGAAAAAAAAATAAACGAAGAAAATACGCTTAGTGTTATTTCCACAGTGGCAATAAACAAGAAACACAAAAGAGCAACCACTTCCTTCGCAAGCAGAGCAACAGTCAGCACCCTGCCACGTTCCACTTTGCTCGCCTTCCCTTCCTTTAAGTCATGTTTTTTCGTTTGTTTGTTTTTTGCCAGTTTTACCTGGAGTGAACCAGCTGGTTCACTCCATGTTTGACGCTTTCTTCAGTATGGACTCTGTGGATCTTCCTCGTAGATTACGCGTTGCGAACAACCTCATTAAGCGAAAATACAAAAGAGAAGAGGGAAAAAAAAAAGAAGAGTTTACGAGCTTATTTCCGATTCCTACCCCCTGAACCACTTGTCCGCCCGTCCATACTCGCTAGCTCGTTAATCGGTGTAGTGCAGCTTCGAAGATAAACTGAGAACATCGAACAATTACGCCACCCCGGTGAGACAGAGGCGTGAATAGTAGTAGCACGTACGCGTCTGCAGCGTGCATTCACGATGTTCCTTTTTACGGCTTTCGTGGTCCGTTAACCCTCTTCTCTAACGGCGGCAGCACAGCAGCGGCCCTAATGAAGTGGACTCGACGTGTATACCAAGTCTCGTCTCCGTGATTAGTTCAAGTAGCTAATACGCTGCCGCTTCGTCCGTGAAGTGTTCATTAGACCAATTATAAGTACTAGAAACAAGGTATCTTTCACGATGCTTCCACCCCTTGTTACGGAGAGAAAAGAAAATAACATCACTACTGTATTCCCCTACATAATGGGTGTGCACTATTTATGAAGAAGGGCACGCGTGCCGACTTCATCGCCGACCTTGCGATGGCAATCCTAAGAAGTGCAAGAGAGACTCCGGCTCTGAATTCCTAGAGAAAAACGGTGTCCTTGTCATTCGCTGGCCGCACCGACTACAACAACGCAGTAATTGATCCTCCGCTTGCAGTGTCAAAAAATACACAAAAAGTTTTTTTTTTTTTTTTTTTTTTTTTTAGGGTGTAATTACGGTGTTTTAGAGAGTGTGATGGATGGACCGGGAAATGCATTTACCGCAAATATGAAAAACAGTGCCGTCTTTTCAGGATCATAGTCCGCAGACAGTGCATGTTTAGAAGTTGAAATTTTACAGGGTGTAGACTATCTACAGGTGTAGGCTATACAATAATTTTTTTTCGAGATAAACGTTTTTGAGGACACATAAAGGAGTTTTGTGAATGTATGTTATGAGGATTTATTTGTCATATAAGCTTGTGTGCTAAGTGCTAATATAGCAGGCATTTGTCAAGGTGTGCTGTGTATGGTAATTTTTTACGCGCGAACAATGCACCATGGCGGCAAATAATATTTTAAAAAAAAGCTTTTTTTGTTTTTGTCTTTCAGCCACAAAATGCGTTTGCAGTATATGCACCGGTTGTGAACTCTAGTCCGGAAAACAGGGGTGAATGAAATTTGCAACACACTTAATAGCAGCCGAAGTACACTTGGTGATATCAGGGGTTTGAAATACGAGATCCCATTGTCAGGTTGAGAAACGTGACACACACACACACGTTCTTGAGTGTCTCCGTAAGACTTAGCCATCATGCCAACTGTTCTTTTAGCGAGCTGACTAGGAAGAGAAGAACTGAGAAATAATCCCAGTGCGGACGGCAATATTTTATGGATGACGACGAGGAAATGATTTATGAATGCTTCGAATATTTTCTGTTTACATGAACGATACAAGTGACGTGAATAAGGAAGCTAGCTATATGGATTGCGCCCTTTGAGAACGCTTCCGGTCACTCGCAAAAGTATTTGGCATAAAAGAAAACGGAGATTAAGTTAGACCAAGATAATATATGCCAAATTTTTGAAGAGTATCTAATCCTCTGATGGACGTGGTACTATTTATACGTAATCCTGCAACTTCGCCGGCTGAATTTGGGTAAGGCTAATCGTGAGCGCGTGCTAAAGGTATAAAAAAAGTTCTACATTTGAGTTATAGACTTATAGTGTAGATGTAGTAAGAAAACAAAGAAGAAAAACACAACGAGCTGTTTGATTAGAGGAAAATACAGTTTCGCTGGAATAAATATCGACACAGCAATCTGGTGATCGAGGAGGTCTCCGACTTGTTAATGAGGAGCTTCTAAGTAACGCATTAGCACCATTAAACCGGTGTTTAAAAAAATTGGACAGACTGCTCTTTATGGGTTTTGATCTATCATTTCTGTAGAAAATATCAATACCCCCAAAATATCAAACCACTCGGAAAGCTTTTGGTGATTTCAAGCTGTATAAATCGATTAAAAATCAGCATTTATTCGAAATAAAAGCTCCATTAGAATAATAACCGTTTTGGGCAACGTGAGAATAGTTTCTAAATCCCATTTGAATAATAGTCTATATCGGTAGGAATATCTGCATATGCTCATGGACAAGGAGCACGACGTTTCACTTGCCCACTGTTCCTGCGCACGACGCATTTTTCGGGTGTCATTGCATTCTGAGCTTCGTCATTTCATGGGACCCTTCCCTTGCTTACAGTGACTGACTACCGGCTTGTTCTGCAGGGAAGTAAACGCACTGACTTTTTTTTGGAGTGCATATACTGCATCAAATGGCAGATGGTCGTAGATGTAGAGGACTTGAACGTCTGAGTAAACTAAACGGCACAAGCTCTCCGAAAACAAAAACGACAATATTAAACTCCGAAAAAAAAAAAAGAGAAAAAAAAAAAAAGCAGCAGGCGTTGAAATTTAAAACACAAGACTCTTATTGACTTTCGTTTATGAGATACTTGCAGCTTTGTCCTCATGGCTCATGGGTTTTTGGCGTGTCTGTCAGCACCGTTTCTACACTCTCAAAATTTCTACGAGTACAAGTTTACTTCCCCGTGATGAGCTTGAAATACCGATCACTGGCCTTTCTTTAAACGTTTTTATGGTTCTATAGACAGCTCGAATGAGAAACACACTGCGCAACACTCTTTGCACGAACACGAGATTGGCGCTCCTTCGCATTTTACTTCGGTATTTGTGGGAATCAAATTTTACCCCTTAGGTTAATATCCTGAAGGATCACTTTCCACCACACTAGTAATTTTTTTTTTGACACCTCTTTCATACTAAGAGAAAAATGGACAAAATTGCAATCGCTTCTTCGCGCTAACAGTTGTCGCGCTCTGTAGGTTATACTGCGCCCCAATGGTCACGTATTCCCCGAGGGGAAGATGCGTACACCCGTGTTGCCACCGAGGTTGCACGATTATTGAAGCGCTGTACTGCTGCTTTACTTAGGAAAATTAGGAAAATCAATTAATGACGTTCGAAATGCGCGAAGCCTATGCATGCAGACACTTGAGTAGAATTTTGTTTAACGACCAGCAGACCTGAGAGTGGATTGGCACATCCGGTATTACTACGATCGTCTTGAGTTGCCCTCTCGTATTCCGTGCAAAGTCATTGCTTCGTACGGCGTGGAGAATGGGACAACTTCCGTGCGTGTGCCTGCGTAGTTTGGGCGGGACAGTAGGAAACCAAAGCAGCATCCGCCCATTTGCGGACACGCTGGGCTCGTCCGAGCTGTATACCAGTTCATTTCTGCAGTATTGTAGTACGTACCCCAAACCCTAAGATGGAGGTGAGAGAAGACCAGAGAAGGGAGGCATTCACGCAGCCTCCGATTGAACAACGTACACCACCAAGAATGAAAGTGAAATCTCGACACGGAAGGTGGTTTCCGACGTCCGACTCACAACTTCAAATGCAAACAGCACTAGCCGTATTACCTCGATGGAGCTAAGAAGAGAGTAAAGAAAGCTGCCGGCTCCCCGCAGAGTGTACTCGTCAAGGAACGACTTTATCGCGCACGCGGTCGCTCGACAAACACGACCAGCCCTAGACGGTACGGCACGTCCGTCCACCCGTCAGTCAATCCCAACGACGGGGCGACCTCCGCCCACGTCAAAACAAACGACCATCACGACATCAGACGACAACCTGGCAATGAGAAAGTTTATTTCCTGCGCCGTCTCGGGGAGTTGTCGGGAGAAGTCCAACCGAGTTACCGCTCCGGCCAATCGAAGAGGCGCGAGAGCGTGTCAGTGCAAACAAAACCCGAGTTATCCCCGAGAAAGCCGAAAACAATTTGGGATGGGGAGGAAGAGGGCAATCTGGCGCTGGCCGACGGCCGTCGCGCGGGTGGCGTACCAGGACCGCTCGTCTCCCGGACAACGGCGGCGAAAGGGCTGCAGGGCGTGGACGTGTCGGTCCTCTCCGGCGCCCCCTCGCAGGGTCCCACCTCGCCCGCACGCCGGTCGGCAGGAGAAGCACATGGCCACGCCAGAGACGACGACGAGGGCGACCTAGATCGCGCTTTCTCTCGCCTCCCTCGGCAGCCCTTCGTCGGCCCCTTGGAACCGCAACTCTGGACTTCGCGTCCTCGCCAAGGAGAAAGCGAGCACCGCGTGACGTCACGGCCGACGCGTTTTTCTGCGAGAAAATCCCCGGTTGCCCCCGCCCCCGGACAGGGCCCGACATCCAGAGAAGCCGCCGGCTACCGGGGTATATAAAAGCGGGCCGGAAAGAGAGCCGCCTGGACGTGCCGCACATCGCTCCGTTCCGAATCCCAGCCCTCAGTGTGGTTCCGGATTACCTTGTCGTCGCCGCCCCCACGGGAGTATTCCGCCATGATTGCCAAGGTGAGACCCAACCCGGGTTCGGACCCGGAGTCGGGACCCGTGCAATTGTTTTCTTCTAGTTTGTGCATCATCGCTCGAACCTAGGGTCAGAACTCTCTGACCGGAACTGATCCCTAGGTTTGCCGGCGAGATGTGTTATCGGAGTCGTGTATCTGGTGCATTCTCCCGCTGGGCTCTTTATTTTTGAAATTATTGTCCGAGTTCTGTTTTTTTGTATTGTTGTTATCCATTGATTTGTATTTTCACTTTGGTCACTTTGCAAGTGACAGGAATCGGTGTTTTTGGGTTTGTCCTGTGCAAAATGCGGCTCCTCCATACTTTTACCCCTGATTTTTTTTCCCTTTCAAAACTCCGCCATCACTGATATTTTTCTACGAAGCGAACTGACCCCGCAATTAAGTAAGTGGTAGAAACTACGTAAGAAAAATATTTTTTTTTTTTTCTTGCGAGTGGAGTCACAGATAGGGTAGATTCGGGGATCGGCGGCTAGTCGTTAATGCACCATAGCCTCACGAGCTTTCACTCGAAAAGCGAAAGCTCATTTCTGGGTTCGATCCCCACCCCTCCACGTTTTGATCTAGATGAGTACATCGCACCGGCGTGCAGTCGTGTAGTCCCTACTGCGTGATGCACCTTCAAACCTCAAGTTAGCAGTCGCACTGCACTAGCTAAATTCGTCTACATAGCTCAAGAGCAGATCGATCGTCCGCTGTCTACCATTGGACGTCTAATTTCAATATTGAGGATAATCTTCGCCAATAGGGAAACATCTAATGTCCAGAAATCACCGAAAGGTTATGGTCCTTTTTTTTTTTAACGCGAAAACCTTATAATATTGATTATGGGCACTGACAGGAGAGGAACGGCAGTGACTCGTTCAGTTGTCCCGCCTCCAGCGTGCAGACCTTCCCTACTTTCGATAATGCTTCGGTGTCTCGTGAGCCTCGAGCGTGCATGCGGAGTCAAAGCACGGTGGAAGGCAACGAACGCGTGCAGGAGGCCAGGCATCTGAAAGAGATGCCCTGCCGTTCTCATCTTGTCAGTGACTAGAGGAAAGCTTGAAAATTCAACGCACATTTTGCTCCTATTGATTTTGATTGGCAGACCTTCATCGCGCTTAAACGGATGCTGAACCGAAATCTGGATTCCACAAAACATGGCGGCCAACGCGTGCAACGAGATGCTACAAACACCAAAACATCACTCATAGAGCGATATTTCAGACGGATGACCGCATTTTTCAAAAAAAAGGGGGCGCATTTGACAGATATATTTACGTCTTGTTTCCCCGAGGAGGAAAGGGAACGGCCTCTTCTCCGCCTCGCCGCCTTGAGGGAGCGAAGTGAAGAGAGGAGGAAACGAGATATGTTGACGTCACGCGCCTCGTCGGCCTCGTTCAATCTCAACTTTTTTTCCAAAAATACGGCCGTCCATTCGAGATATCGCTTTACGAGTAGTGTTGTAGGGATTGTTGTATCCCGCCTATACAGCTCCTGCTTTGTTTTCTGAAATCCAAGTTTCGGTTCACCGTCCCTTTAAAGGAGCCATGAAACGATGTTTCTACTTTCGCTCAATACTACTTAGAATCACTCCCTAACGCTAATAACCGAATAAACTTGCCTTAGTATTTCCTTCTGCACAATGGCAGTCGCCAAAAAAAAAAAAATTCAGAAATATGAGCATTGAGCATCGCTCATCCCCTCAACCCGGAGCCAGAACAAGCAGCCGCGTGTCCTGGTGCCTATCCTATGCCGCCAACGTGAATCATAGCCACGCGCTGGGGTTGGCAAAGGAGAAAACGCGTGCTGAGCTCCAGGCATTGATAAAGGGTGATTCACACGCTTGCGTCAAGTCGGACGGAGTGCGAGGGTTGCTATGGCAACAGCGGCGTCGGCTCCAACAAAGCCGGTTTTTACCCCGTTTTGTTGGAGCCGACGCAGCTGTTGCCATGGCAACCCTCGCGCTCAGTCGGTCTCAACGCAAGTGTGTGAATCGCCCTTTGAGCCTGGTTCAGACAGTTGCGTTTGACTGCGTTTGACTGCGTTGCGGCTGCAAGAAACCAGGACATCCCTGCTGCTAATATCGCGTGCCAAGATGAGTCCTTGAATTGGATTCCACGCTTCATACGAAGCACAGATGTGCCGGTGACTGGCTTTCGGTTCTCGACGCAACGCAGTCAAACGCACTCAACCGCAAGTGTCTGAACCGGCCTTTAGAGTTCGGCTATTCTCATCACTGCAGTGGTTGTACACGAGCCGCTACCCGAGTGTTTGCCGAGGCATGGATTGTTACGAGCTGAAGTCGAGTGCTCACGCAGTTCTCGTGTCCAATCCATGACCCGCGCTCGACTGTTGTCAGGCAGGTGGTTTCGATTCCACAATTACGTCATCACCCTTTGCGAAGTCAAGACTGAAAGAAATAGCTTCCTTTTATCCTCGCAATTTCACCGCGACAAAGAAGGCTCTGAACCAGTCTAGGACCAGTACGCCTCTGCAAAGTCATGAACATTCCAACTCGATATCGTTTCATGACCCTTTAATTCACGCACCCTGATAATTGCGAGTTAAAATGCAAATAATGTTAACTTGGGCTGGTGTGAAACGCGATTATAGCTTTAAACAAAAGAGGACGTCCAACCAAGACCAAATAGACCTCTAGCCGAATTACCGAAACATAAAAGAGAATGCCGGGAACGTAGGTACACGCGCTGTGCTTGCTGGCCTCTGCAGCTGGAACTGTTCGAAAGTACAAATCTAAACCAAATGGAACTTTGCAAACGCGTTCCACAAATGCTTGATTTTGGTCATTTACTTCTATTATTTTCTATAGGGAAGGCGAGCGCGTGGAGCTCGTGTACTTCCATTCCCAACATTATCTTTGATGCTTGGGTTTTTAGCCGGTGCAGTACGACTGCTAGCCTGGGGTCTTTAACGTGCATTGCGCAGTAGTGATAAAGGACCTCACCCCGGTACGATTCTCAATCAGATAGAACGGAGCAGGGGTGGGGGCTGAATCCAGGATTCCTGGGCTCTGCACCGCGAGCTTTCGCTCCACGTACTGTAGGAAGTATTCACTGGCGGCTATAGCTGCGTGCGCTACTGCTGAGAGCGTCCTGACGACGACCTTCCGCAACTCTTTTGCAACGTGCATTCCGCACCATCAAGATTGGAGGTCTTAGCAGCCTAGTTCTGAGCATGCGCTCTAAACATTCCCCTCAAATATGGCATTCGGTGAATACCCCATATATACTCCGTTCACCCTTAAGATGAGACTAGAAGCTCCGCCTTCAGCGCGAGCTTTCTGTTTTTGCTAACACAAGTTTGAATGCGGAGGCGCGCACAACCAAAGCACTGCGGAAGCCAGCGAGCTTGCGCTGAAGGCGGAGCGTCTCGGCTTAAATATGGGTGAATGGTGTATACGAGCTGCGGTGCGTTAACGCACTCGGCTACCATTCCCCCACGAAAACAAAAAAAAAACTGCTCCACAACGGCCACCGCCACAGTCAGCCCTGAAGAGGAAGCCAAGTAGGCTTTGAAACATTGGGTTCTCAATAGACCTATTGCTATATTACCCAAGCATCAAGGAGAAAGCAGGGATTGGTGTTCCACTCGCCACACGCGCACGCCTTCCCTGTGTAAAAGATTCGAAGTAAATAACCAAAATCTGCATTTTTTTTAGGCATTTGCTTTAGAAAAGTTACTACTGCTGAGGCTAGCACGTGCGGCGCGTGGAACACCAATCCCTGCATTCTCCTGATGCTTGGGTAATTTAGCAATCTGTCTTTAGGGCTTGGTTGGACGTCCCTCCTTTGTTTATTTATTCCACCCAACCAGACAGATATTTGTTAAAATTCACGTTAGAGACTGAGCATTGGCCTTGGAAGCGCTCATTTAGCACTTTCCAGGGCTATCCACGTAGCTGATAGTACAACAGGGATCTAATTGATGGATTGGACACGCATTACATTAAATTACAAATATTTCTTATGGAAAACTACAAAGCTTCGGCTATGTATAGTTTGGCCATAAGCATGCGGCTATATGGTGAATTTGTTTTTGTGAAAATGCTTATGAACGAACCTCCTTCGGTCAAAACATGAAAAAGCAAAAGACATTTCTACGTGCCAATATAAAGCTAAGCTTTTTTTCTTCAATTTTTCATCACCTTAACAAATTTGAAGCATCTAATTTCCCGCAAAGCACTTGGGAGACAAAATCGGTACAATATACAGAGGAGCTCAGCGAATGACGAGACTAAAAATATGTTTAAAGCTAAAAAAAACAAACAAAAAAACTAGATAACAGAAAGTATAAAACAGAGAGAGGACGAAACACAGACGAGTATGAAAGAATTTACTCGTCTGTGTTTCGTCCTCTCTCTGTTTTATACTTTCTGTTATCTAGTACATCTTACAAACACGCTCGTTAGGAATGTAATATCTAAAAAAAAAGAAAAAGGTCTACGCTGCCGCATTGAGCAGAACGTGTCACCAATCTCACTTCTCCAACGCAGATTTTTTTTTGTTTTTGTTTTTCTAAACATATGTTGAACCCCGTCAATCGCCGAGTCAAAACGGGGGCCCGTTTTCGCCCGTTTTCAGTAAATGGCGTAATTCAGTGCCATGCATTCGAGAGCTTCGCCGGCTTCCATTTTCTCATTAAAAAATTCAGAAAGCCACTTATGACTTTTGAATACAATAACGATTCGTTCTGAAATTTTGCCGTCTGGTTCGGACCTCCAGGGCTACGTTTGGCCGGACAATTGGTGTTCGTGCGATGCGTGGTTTATTTTTGCGGTGAAAAAGAACCCTGCAAATTTGTTTGGGGACACCCTGTATTGTGACGTTCTGAAAGGAACGTCCTTGTCACCTTGCGGTGTTCATTTTAAAAGAATTCAGAACAGAAAGGGGACAGGTGTTCTAAGTTTTCTCCGCTATTTGAGTCAGACACATCACTGCCCCAAAGCGACGCTTTTTCACTAACATTTGAAATAACGTAAAC